AAGATGGTGTGATAAGCATAGCATAAAATAAAGCAAATATAAGATTTTGTGTTATCACTTGGGAAAGAGAATAATTGTAATAGAGATCAAGGTGATTGAGGCAGGCTTTCCAGAGGAGGTCATTTCTAACCAAGTCAAGCAACAAGCCAAAGTGAATGATGTATATTCCAGGTAGACGATCTGGTGTGGTGGTGTAAGTGATTGGGTGGATGCCTGTGCCTTCAACAGCGACTGCGAGTACAAGAAGCAGAGCAAATTTAGAGGCGAATCAATGAGATTAGCTCTCCATCTATCTAGAGCCAGCATATTCTTCAAAACAGGGGTCTTTTTTCTGAAGTTCATGCTACCCTAGCCCAAAGTGGTTTTTGCTCCATAGGATGACAAAATTGTGACCTCAAGCTATAAAATCTTAGAATAGTTGATTGTTTATAAGAAAAAAAAAAAAAACTCCAAAAAAGCAAATGTGTTGTTATGCCTGAGTCCAAAATAATCAGTTTCACCAATACAGAACAAGAGAGACAGAGAGCCTATAAACATGAAACAATTTTAGGCTACTGATAACTTAAAGGATATAGGGCTCCTCCAAATATTGTTCTTAATTTCAAGCTGTAGTAACAGCATTGGTCTTTCTGGAATGATGGACTTGAGACTCAGACTATACCATGCGAGAGTGGCATGATGCTCCATTGTGTGTCATTTGTAAGTCATCAGAAACATAAACAGCAACTATGATCATGGTAGGCTCACATTTATATCATATAAATTGTAAATAACCAAAGTACTTAGCATAGAAGACAAAGGAAGAAAAATGTAGCTTTCCCAAATATTTGAAAGACATTTGCAATTGACCCCAGAGAGTAGACCAAGAATTAATGTCTGAAAGTGGAGGAAATATTTTTGTTTAATATTATGAAGCAATGCTTTTGTTTTGGTTTGGTTTTGGACAGTGTTTTTTAAAGATATAATGATCAGTTAGTTGAGAGAGACAATGGATTTTTGTTTCGGGAGGTGTTTGAGTCTTGTGAATGCCGATGATAATTTAATCATCAGTTTCATAGGAAAGTTTTACCAAACGTCAGTTCCCAAAGTCTGCCCCATGGGTGCCCAGGGCTTCTGCATTTTTTCCAAGGGGGTCTACAATATAAAAATGACTTTCATAATAACACTAAGATTTTTTTTTTGACAAATGTTTGTACTGATGGGTCAAAAGCAATGAAAGGTAAACATTCTGACACCTCCACTTGAATCGGTTTGTCCTTGTAATTCTTCACTGCCATGCACTTGCATGGGGAACAAAAGCTAGCTTTATTTAGTGTCCTTAATGAACAGTGAACATTTATTAAAACTCAACTCTTGAGTATATGTGTTTTTAATACTCCGTGTGACAAACAGAAAGTACACATAAAGCATTTCTGCTGGGCTGCAAAGTACAACAGTTCCTTTGATTAAAAGTACTTATTGTGAATTAAGGTAGCCCTTGTTCATTGGACGCCATCTCTATTTGAAGATCCAGATGGCAAACTGTGATTATTAATACATTGGCATTTGGTAGACATTTTCCTGAAAATGAACACAGTTAAGCGATTCTTTAAGGATAACATTGGTGTTTGTTGCCAACGATAACATTCAAGCTCTGAAGTAACATTGGAATTTTGGAAATTTTATGTCTGCCTCCATAAGTTTGGTGGCTTTGCTCTAATTAAGACTTTTTTGATAAGATGGGCAGTGATTTTTTTTTTTTAAATTGTCTTTTTTTAAATACCAGAAAGTAACATATGCCGGCATTTGGAAGTTCTGTGTTGCTTAACATGGGGAAGAAGAAGGGAGTTTTGGTGGGGGTGGATATGAGACAGAGCAAAGACTGTACTCCGGTCCCCTCAACCCTGACTGCAGAATCCAGTGTTCCTTGGCTGCCTCCATAAGAAAAAAATGCTGAAACTTAGTTTCTTGAGTAGCAGCACATCTTGCAGGAATGTGGAGGGAGGGTGCTCACCACAGAGACTGGGCAAGAGCAGACCAAAGCAGTGTGTGGCAAGATAGACCCCAGCACTGACTATTCACTAACTTTTTACTTGATTATAACACTAAAAATCATGCCCAGGGGTGGAGACTTAACAGGGTAACTATATATATGATGCATGAAGAAGCATGACCTTTAATCGCACAGGTGCTAATAAGTTCCCACCTCTGCGTGGTTAGATGTCACCCTTTTCCTGCCTGAGTTTCTTTAAAATGTTCTCGCTGACCTCTCCTCCAGGAATTGGCAGGAGGACACTCTTCTTTGGTGCTGTCTTCCTTTGGTCCCGAGCATAAGCCCCAATAAAGCCTTGCCTGAAACTCCTGTTTGGCCTCTGATCAATATCTATTGTTTAGAGAGCCCAGGGGCCCGATATGGTATGGAATAGAGTGGCATTATTTCCTTTTATCATCCATAAAGCAGCACTGTCACAACCCCAGGCAACTTTTATTTCTGAAGTCAGCAGAAATGGTCTAAGAGAGTATTAAGTATAAAGGACTATGCCATTTGTAATCCATGTGTACTGAATAATTTGGGGAATAACTATAGTTTTGCCACAAACTCACTTTATTCTCAAGACGTTGGGGAATTCTATCCTTCTCTTCAATATTTAATTATTATCATGGTTTACCTTAGCCATCTTTTCCTCTTATAGTTGTTTGTTGAGATTTTATGTGTTTTTATTTAAAGGCCACAGAAATTTACAGAGTCCATGGAGTCAGCTTCTAATCATTCACCTCTTCATACCAGCACTCAACTAGGTTGAGCCTATGTCAGGTTATCTAAGGTTCTAAAAACAAAAATTAAACCAACAAACAATAATTACTTCGTCAGATTGTAGCAAGATGAATCACCCCCCTCCCACCCCCGTTGAAGTTTGGGTATTGAATGTGGTTGAGTTTGAAGACAGCAGACTAATTTTCTGCTCTGCTAAGCGAAATAAGTCAATCAGAGACAGACAAATATCATATGATTTCACTCATATGTGGAATTAAAGAAACAAAACCGATGAACATATGGGAAGGGAGGAAAAAGAGAAGAGAGAGAAACAAACCCTAAGAGACTCCTAATGATAGAGAACAAGCTGAGGGTTGGCAGAGGGAGGTGGATAGGAGGTGGGCTAGATGGGTGGTGGGCATTAAGGAAAGCACTTGCTTGATGAGCACTGGGTGCTGCATGTCAGTGATGAATCACGGAATTCTACTCCTGAAACCAATATTGCAATGTATATTAACTAAAATTTAAATAAAAAGAAAAGAATAGAGAGATTATAGGGACTGGAACCCTTTCTAGGGTGTATTTTGGTGCAGACCTCCATGTCTTAAAAGAGCCCTGTTTTGTCAGTATTCTGAATTTTAATATTCTTTTATAATAGTGCCCTGGGCAATAAGTATAGTTATTTGCCAGAAAGATGAGCATGGTCATTATTAAAAGCCATCTTGTTACTTGGTTTTAAGTGGTATGGGATCAGTGGGGCTGGCTTCTTGGCAGTAATTACGGTAAGTGGTATTTACTTCCCTAAAATTCTTGGGCCAGATCACAATAAACTGGTGGAAAAAAGCAGTTGAAACTACTATGCAGTTGAAATTCTAGAAGCAGGTTCTAAAACTTTGGAGTAGCTTTGGATATTTGCATTAAATGCATGCCTTTTACTTCTTTGGATCTTTTGTTGCATTGGATTTCGAAAGCAAAATTTATTTTCAATACAAACCCTCAGAAGATCTACTGATCTGTCATCAAATCCTCTTCCCCTGTTTAAAGAAGCTTCATGTGAGGGCACCTGGCTGGCTCAGTCGGTAGAACATGTGACTCTTGATCTCTGGGTTGTAAGTTCAGGCCCCACATTGGGCATAGAACTTAATTAAAAATAAGTAACTAAAATAAGAAATGAACTGTTTTAAAAAATAAAAAATGAAGCTTCCTTTGAGGAACTAGTCTTTGCTAGTTAATACCATCACTTGAAAACCTGCATTTCAAAACAATCAGTGAATAAAAAAAGAATATAGCTGGGTTTCAGATGAAATCTTTAGTTTCTATAGACCTATCAGATTCTGTCTCATACAGTAGTTCTTGGCTAAACTGCTTTAATATTTAAACAAAAAATAATAATTAAAATAATTATTTTAAGATCTGAGGATTAGACTCAAATTCAGGATATGGGAGTCTACTCACACTTCTTAATGCAATGAAATACTGTATTTGGCTGTCTTGAAACATCTTTATGAGCTATAAAATAAAGATAAGACCACAAATATAAAGCATCCAAAATTTTCATAAAGGAGAATAGATGCATATTTCTCCATCTGTAAAATCTTCTACCATATATGAAAAATGCAGAAGAAACTTTCCTACAAAGAAACAAATTTAGGATGACCGAATTTTAGCTTGTAATTATAAATGATAAAAGAAGATATTTTGGAAGAAAAGAAGCCGAAAGCCACATTTTGTGTCAAAAAGAAAATTCAGCAGAAAAATCAACCTTTTATTTTTGTTCTAGAACTTAATAATTCAATTGTATTTTTCCCCTAAAAAAAGCCATAAACAAGGATTGCAGTGGTTGAATATGTACTTTTTTTCTTTAGAAGTCTTATAACATTATGACCAAATTACTTCCAAATTTATCTTGATTGACTTCTAAATAAGACATACCCACTTTAAAATGAAATTCTTGTATTCTAAAGAGTATTACCAAACATCCTAAAACAAGAGAGGAAAACTGTATTATTTTAAAGCATGCTTAAGTAAATAAATGTTTTGCAGATCACTAATAGCCAGTAACATTATTTGGAAGGTTTGGAGGCGATCTGGTTTGCATTAAACATATTTACACTTTAAAATGCCTTCATGAATTAAGTCAAGCTTTACTGCAAACAGATGCTAAGAAATATGGAAATATATAGAGTTTTGCTGTGTTAAGATTATCATAATCTAAGGGATTCATTTCATAAGGTTTTCAATAACTGCCTGGCATTCTTTTTTCCAGAGAGCACAGTCAGATGAACTGGAAAAAATTGAGAAACACGGCCGATCCTCTAAAGACAAGGAAAATGCCAAGTCTCTGGACAAACCTGAACAGTAAGAACACCTCGGGACCTCGCTGGGGGCAGCGGGGATGTGGCAGCCTCTTTCCGTTTGGAAAATGTAGCATCTTCTGTACAGAATTGTCATGAGAAATATGGGGATAAACATCTGTTTATATGACTTATATCTCTCTTCTTCACTTGGGTTCATTCCCTTAGGTTCCTTTATGAACTGTCACTGATCCCCAACTTTTCAGAGCGAGTCTTTTGTATCCTGTTCCAGTCTACGTTTTCAGAAAGCATTTGCTCAATTCGTCGCAAACTGGAGTTGCTACAGAAGTTGTGTGAGGTGGGTTGCAGTCTATAGAGAGTGACGATCGGGTCCTGATATTTAATTGTGTTCAGTCATACACTGTTTTCTTTTATTTACTTTCTTTTATTTACAAATAAGTTTGCAGGATAGCAGTTCCACGAAAGAGAACACACCATGATTGGCTTCAAGATCAAAGAAAAACTTGGAGACGGTGTGCTCATTGTGCCTCACGTCTGGGAATTGCTGTCCCTTCTGCTTTTGCCAAAACAAAATCACTTTCCCTGGTCCTTTCCTTCATTAGACTTCAGATTAAATGTGATCTGAAGGCATTTTATTTATTTTCCTTTGGTTTTGGAAGGGGCCTTCTACAGATTGTTAATGATTCCATCCAAATGATTTAGGAACAGCTGTATGACTCAATAGAAGACGAATAGTCTTCAGAAAACAAAGAATAAATGTTTGGCAGAAATGACCAATATTAGCATTTAAAACAATTTGTCAAAAATCAATAGTACCATTCATTCTGGTAAATCATTTTGAAAAGTAGTAAGATGTTATTAAAGACACATTTTCAGAGGAAAGAATATGTGCAAATTCCAGCTAAGCTTCATGTTTTGGAAGAAGTGAGTGTGAGCTTTTCAGGGCTAAATCTAAATTTGGAAATTAACCTATAAAACTGTGTTTTGGTTTCCCACAATTTATGCCAAACATTTGAATTGTAGGTACAATTAGGGTGATGGCAATGCCATTCTTTTCTGGTAGTTCTCATATTACAGCCTTATGTTTTCCATGCAGTTGCATCATAGAAATGGCTCCGAATGGTACCTCTCAGTTTACAAATGTGTACCTGAATCTCGTAGGTGGTACAACTTCTTAAAGTTAACTTTGAGTAAACTAAAAATAAAACTATCCTACAATCCAGCACTTGCACTGTTAAGTATTTACCCAAAAATACAGATTTGAAGAGGTACTAAAGATAGCCAAACTATGGAGAGAGCACAAATGTCTGTCGACTGATGAATGGATAAAGAAGATTATAAATACATATGTATATATATGTATATATAATGAATAAAGAATGGATAAAGAAGATTATATATACATATGTAGATATGTATATATATGTATATATAATGAATAAAGAATGGATGATGAATGGATAAAGAAGATTTTATATATATATATATGTATATATGTCTATATATAATGGAATAATACTCAGGCATCAAAAAGAATGAGATCTTACCATTTGTGATGAAGTGGATGGAGCTAGAATGCATTATGCTAAGTGAGATAAGTCAATCAGAAAAAGACAAGTACCATATGGTTTTACTCATATATAGAATTTAAGAAACAAAATGGAGGACCAGATGGGAAGGGGTGCGGGGTGAGGAGAAGAGAGGGAAACAAGCTACAAGAGGCTCTCAATGATAGAGAACAAACTATGGGTTGAAGGAGGGAAATGGGTGGGGGATGGGCTAGATAAGGTGATGGGTAGTAAGGAGGACACTTGGTGATGAGCACTGGATATTACACGTAAGCGATGAATCACTGAATTCTACTCCTGAAACTAATATTGCGCTGTATGTTAACTAAAATTTAAATTAAAAAAACATAGTTAACTTTGGAGACACTACTCTTAAAATATCCTGATAATGTGCAATGATACAGTTTAGATGTGACCCAGAATTATTATTTTGATAAGAATATCTGCCACTGACAAAAGATAATTCAAAGAAGACTCTGTCTAAGAGATAAACCGTTCTCTACCCTATTTTACAGACATTAAAAAGTGGCCCAGGGGTTATGCAGATTCTGGGTTTGGTTCTTGCTTTTGGGAACTACATGAATGGTGGAAATAAGACTCGAGGACAGGCAGATGGCTTTGGATTAGACATTCTTCCGAAGCTGAAAGATGTCAAAAGCAGTGTAAGTATTTGCTATGAATGAATGTAGGCAAATTGAGGATTAGAAGGTTTGTTTAGTAATAAGTTTGACTGTAAACATGTTGTAATAAATGTTTATTTTCCGAGATCAAAAATGTCTTTATGTTGTGAGCGAGGTAAAAGTATACGGCCATCATATGTTTATGATTTTGTGAATGTTTCCTCAAGTGAGTGAGTGGGAATCCTATGTTTAATGAATAATTGAGTAGAGAATAAAAATAATTATTTTTTCACTCTATCATTACCATGTCTACTAAAATTTATCCTTTTGAAGTCTGAGGACTAATTAATTTTCATAAATTAGACAGTACTATTCTTCTCTTCTGTGTTAAGTAATGGAGGCCAATAGGCTTGTATTTTAAAAACAAAACAAAGATGAGTGAAAGTAGACTTTAAATAAAATGTAAGAGATGATTTTGTTTTTCTACATATCACATTCCCCTTGATACTGGCATATGTGGGAATGCCTAAGCCCTTTTGCAGGACTAATTACTTTTTGATCCTACTTCTATACTTGTATTTGTTTAACATTAACAACTAAGAGATTATGACAGCGCCAGTAAAAATATAAGATTAGGGAAACAACTTAGAGTTAATGTTTGAGAATGCAAACTTAGAAAATAACAGAATTCTAGTTCTCTGATAGAATCTCTCTACAGAACATAAAGGAAATTATGGACATGTTTTTATTTTATTTTATTTTAAAGTTTTTAACACTTCTTTATTTTTGAGAGACAGAGAGACAGAGCGTGAGCAGGGGAGGGGCAGAGAGAGAGGGAGACACAGAGTCTGACTGAGCCACCCAGACGCCCCAGACATGTTTTAAAAATACTAAGTTTAAGGGGTGGCTGAGTGGCTTAGTCCGTTAAGAGTCTGCCTTCGGCTCAAATCATGTCTCAAAGTTTGTGAGTTCGAGCCCTGCACTGGGCTCTGTGCTGACAGCTCAGAGCCTGGAGCTTCAGATTCTGTGTGTCTCTCTCTCTGTCCCTCCCCCGCTCACACTCTGTCTCTTTCTCTCTTAAAAATAAATAAACATTGAAAATATTTTAAAATATTAAGTTTAAATAAATAGTTGGCTCATAGGAATGGAAATAGTAGAATTGTTCTTCCTAGATAGTGAATATAGTTGACACTTGAATGATGTGGAGCTTAGGGCACTGACCTTCTGCTCAGTTGAAAAGCCACACATAACTTGCGACTCTCCCAAGACTTGACTACTAACAGCCCACAACATTCACCGATTGATACCTATTTCATATGTTATAGGTAACATATACTGTATTCTTACATTAAAGTAAGCTAGAGAAAATATTTTTAAGAAAACCAGAAGGAAGAGAAACTACATTTCCAGTATTATACTGTACTTGTTGACAAAAATCTCCGTGTAAGTGGCCCACACAGTTCAAACCCATGTTGTTCAAGGCTCAACTTGTGTCTTCCTCATAAGAAATACTTTGTTGTTGTTGTTTCGGCTGGTCAACAACTCATCTGTTCATTCATTCATACGTACACTCGTATATTTATGTAACATTCTTTCACTGAGTTCTGTGAAATATCGGTTATTACTTTTCCAAAATTGAATAAAGCATAGCCCTTTCTTGGAATACCAGCAACATATAATTTTTGCGGTTTTTATGGGTATATTTGTTCAGAAGCTAGTATATTAGTATGGCACAAGTTTTCATAGGAACCTCCAATATGTCAACATGATAAATCACATTTGTTCTAAAGCAAAAGCTCTCTTCGAAGCATTGAATAGTTCTTAACAACTGATTGTTGAGTTGAAACAAGTAACTTTTGCAAATAATACTGGAATATAAATATCATCAACATAATATTTAACTTATAAAAGTTGATCTGAAATAGATTCTGATTTTCATAATTACATATGAATAAAGGATTTTCTGTTTCTTTATTGGTTGGTATATCTTATTCAATCCCCCTGTAAGTATAATGTTATTAATTTAAATAATTAAGGACTAACCTAGATAAAAATTACGTAATAAAATCAAGAAGCGAGGTTTTTTTTTTATAATCTCATTTGCATTCTCATAAGAGTTAGACAGGTCTTCCTGATTTGGTTCTTGCTCTATAAAATGAATATAACTGTGTCTATTTCTTAGTACTGTTTGTGGACCTGCATGGACAGAGCTACTACTCAGATCACTCAGAATTTTCCCTCAGCTCGCCTATAGCAGGCAGTTAATAAATGTTTTGTTAATTCATTCAAGAAGTGCTAACCATTTCTTTGAAATATGTTAGGAAAGAGAAAGGAAAGTTGCTTAAATTATTAGCAAGCAAATGGTGTTCCTAAAAAATACATTGCTTTTACTATTGCAATATATTACGGCACAATATATTATTATTATATTATGATTACTGTATATTACAGTGAAGTCTCTAAACACTGTATTATCTATATGTCAAACTAAATTATTAAAGCCTATTTCTTTTTATAATAGAGGGAAAATAATGGGTTAGATTGAAGATTTCAGGGAATGTTGTTTGTCATATTTTAAAGTACATATAAAATACATATTTTTAAAAACTATAAAGACATCGTGAACTGAATGCCTTTAAATGTGCCAGAAAGAAGGTAAAAAGCTATTCTTTGAAGACTGTTAGAATAGAAACATTTCTACATTATTCTATGGAAGTATACAGGTTGCATTGTTTATAGCTGCCTGTATATTAATCCCACAATCTCAGGTGCTTACATAGCCATTTATAATATGTATTTGCACTTTTAGACACAGACATAGACACAGAGCACAAGCAAGGGAGGGGCAGAGAGAGAGGGAGACACAGAATCTGAAACAGGCTCCAGGCAGCTGTCAGCACAGAGGCTGAAGTGGGGCTTGAACTCAAGAACTACGAGATCATGACCTGAGCCGAAGTCAGATGCTTAACCAACTGAGCCACCCAGGCGCCCCTTGAATTTGCACTTTTAAAGCTCCTGCTTACTTGAAATAATACTTAACTTTATTTTCTTAATCTCCCTGCTAACAAACCTCAGTCAAATGTACTGTTGCAGTGATACCTGCTGGTCCAGAAGAGGTAGGGAAATGCGGGCAAAATGTTTAATCGTTTCAGTGAAGGTAGTAGTTATACCTTTTAAAAATAAAGCACGAGAATGAATGAATGAAAGTTCTGATCAGAGAGGGTAAGACAGGAGAGTATTCACCACTGAGACCCCGTCCTTAAACAGTGAGCTTCCACTTGGTGCTTAGATCAGAACCCTGGGGAAAAGCAGATCTTCTTGCCGTTGAATTCCTTAGATGTAGTGGCCGCGGTGCTTTGAAATACAGGATGTCACATCTTATTCTAAACGTTCGCGTACATATATTGGTTTCCTGGAATCTAATTTATTTGATGCTCTGATATTTAAAAACTATCATTTTACTTACTTTTGTCTTTCTGCCTAGGACAACAGCAGAAGCCTGTTGTCGTACATTGTTTCCTACTATCTTCGAAATTTTGACGAGGTAAGACACTGTTTACAGAGATGTTTTGTTACTGTTTACTGTTGAGTGATTTGGCAGTGTTTTTTGTTTTGTCGTTGCCATTATTATATTGTTCTTATTTATACTGACCCTGATTTGCTTTACAATTTTGTGTTTTTTGCTAATCAGGATGCTGGAAAAGAACAGTGTGTTTTTCCACTGCCAGAACCCCAGGACTTGTTTCAGGCCTCGCAGATGAAGTTTGAAGATTTTCAAAAAGATCTCAGAAAACTAAAGAAAGACTTGAAAGGTAACATACACCTAAGGAATCATTTTTGTATTATTCATGCTTTTTTAATGAGAAAAAAGTCTGACTTCTCAATTTTTTTTAAGACAGTAAATCTTTAACAGCTTTGTAAAACTACATTTCTTTTAGTGTGGCAAAAGAAAAATATTACCCATAGGCTAGTTCTTTTGTGTTTTAAAAAGTTACATATATTTGACATTTGGATATTGAATAATATATTGGTTATTTGAATAGCTATCTCTTTCATCAGAAGCCAATTTGATCATCTTGTGTACACTTACACTTTATAGCCAGGAACATTTGTTCATTCATCATTATATTGTTAAAAGACAAATAGTTCCTCCCTGTCCTCCGTGGTATACTCGCACAAGATGTTGTGTTGTTGTGAACTTTCCTGGGAACAAAAATGTTCTTTCACATGTTTGCTCAAAAACACGTGCATGCATAACATCTTATTATCAGTCACAAAGCCTCGCATCAAATCATTTCGAAGAGAGTCTAAAATTCTTCAGATTTCTAAATTAAAAGTAACATTTTAAAATAAAAACCATCCAAATTGGAAAGGAAGAAAAGCTGTCATCATTTGCTGAGGACATTTTATATACAAAAAACCCTAAAGACCACCAAAAACTATGATTAGTAATAAACTAAGTTGCAGGGTACGTAATCAATATACAAAAATCTGTTGCATTTTTATACACCAATAACAGACTCTCCAAAAGAGAAATTAAGGAAACAGTCTCATTACAACTGCATCAAAAAGAATAAAATACCTGGGGATAAATTCAACCCAGAATGTGCAACATCTGTACACTAGAACCTATAAGACATTGATGAAAGAAACTGAAAAATCTACAAATAGAAGGGTATTCTGTATTCATTGTTTGTAAGATTTAATATTGTTAAAAATGTCCATATTACCCAAAGAAATCTCCAGATTCAATGTAATCCCTGTAAAAATTCCAGTGGCCTTTTTCACAGAATTAGCACAAATGATCCTAAAAGTTGTAAAGAACCACAAAAGATTCTGAATAGCCAAAGCAATTTTGAGAAGGAATAAAGCTGGAAGCATTATACTTACCTCCTGATTTCAAGCTATATTACAAAGCTAGAGTAATCAGAACAGTATAGTATTGGCATAGGTCACCTGAACAGAATTGAAAGCCCAGAAATAAGCGCATACATATATGGTTGATTAATTTATGACAAAGGAGGCAAGAATATTCAATGGGGAAAGGATAGTCTCTGCAATGAATGGAATTTTGGAAAACTGGACATCCAAATGCAAAAAAGGAAAGAAAAAGTGAGAGGAAGGAAGGAAGGAAGGAAGGAAAGAAGAAAGAGAGAGAGAGAAAGAAAGAACGAAAGAAAGAAGNAGAAAGAACGAAAGAAAGAAGTAAGGAAGGAAGGAGGAAGGAAGGAGGGAGGGAGGGAGGGAGGGAGGGAGGGAAGGAAGGAAGGAAGGAAGGAAGGAAGGAAGGAAGGAAGGAAGGAAGGAAGGAAAACTGGACAGTATCTTACACCATACCCCAAAATTAGCTCAAAATAGGTTAAAGACCTGAATGTAAGACCAGAAACCATAGGCAGTAACCTCCTTGATGTTGGTCTCGGTGATACTTTTTTTTGGATCAGACTCCAAAGGCAATGGCAACAAAAGCAAAATAAAGAAATGGGATGACATCAAGCTAAAAAGCTTCTGCATAGAGAAGGAAACCATCAACAAAATGACAAGGCAGCTTACTAAATGGGAGAAGATATTTGCAAATGATAAATCCAATAAGGGGTTAATATTGAAAATGTATAAAAAACAAGTTAACAACAAAAACACAAATGATCCAATTAAAAATGGGCAGAGGATCTGAACAGGCATTTTTCCAAAGAAGATATACAGATAGCCAAGAGGCGCACGAAAAGATGCTGAACATCACTCATCATCAGGGGAATGTAAATTAAAGCCACAGTGAGATATCACTTCACACCTCTCAGAATGGCTAGTGTCAAAAGGGCAAGAAACAGCGAGTGTTGGTGAGGATGTGGAAAAAAAGGAACCTGCCTGCACTGTTATAGTGTAAATTGGTGTAGCTACTGAGGAAACAGTATGGAGTTTCCTAAAAAAATTTAAAATAGAACTGTTATCAAATATAGCAATTCTACCTCTGGGTATTTATCAGAAGAAAATGAAAACACTAATTTGAAAAGCTATACGTGCCCCTCTATCCATCGCAGCACTATTGACAATAGCCAAGGTATGCAAGTAACCTAAGTGTCCATCTAGATGAATAGATAAAGATGTGGCATGTATGTGTGTATATATAAGTATATACACACACACATAGGAATATTACTGAACCATCAAAAAGAAGGAAATCTTATCATTTGCAATAGCATGGATAGATCTTGAGTGTATTTTGTTGAATGAAATAATTCTGACAGAAAAAGACAGATCCTGTATGATTTCACCTACATGTAGACTCTAAAAAGAACAAAATAAGAAAACAAAACAAAGTTCATAGACACAGAGAACAGATGGGTAGTTGCTAGAGGGAGGGGTTTTGGTGGTAGAGAAAATGGGGGAAGGGATCAGGGTGTACAACCTTCCAATTATAAGTAAATATGTCACCGGGGCATAATATACAGTATGTGACTTTAGTCAGTAATATTGTATTAACAATTTGAAAGATGCCAAGAAAGGAAATCTTAAGAGTTCCCATCACAAGGGGAAAAAATTTATGTTTGTTGATAGATGTTCACTAGACTTTTGTGGTAATCATTTCATAATGTAGACAAGTGTTGAATCATTATATTGTTTTCCTAAAACTAATATAATCTTATGTGTCAATTATACTTCACTGATAATTTTTAGGATAAAGAGATTTTATGTGAGAAAAGGCAATGTTTATACAGAAACAGATAATTTATACCCATATTTTTTGTTTTGTATGTAAAATGCCTTTATTCCCTTTATGATCATGAGGATTCTTCTGGCAGAGCTGAGATAGCGTCAAGGTGTCTGTGTAAGCCTCCTGCTACATGTGTTAAGCACAGACAGGGAATAAATAAATTTATGTGAGATTATCATTCGATATTGTATTACTAGATAAAGAGGCTTGATTACCTCTGTCCTTAAATCAAATGTGATATCACATTTTAAGAGATTGTATCCCAGTTTTGAAATATTTATACAAAAATTGGATCTATAATCAAATTTATGAAGTTGTTACATTTTCATCACAGATGCTTTTATATGGATTTAAATCCACAGAGCAACATTATATAGTTTGCTTATATTTTCTAAACACTCAATAGCATTCATTTATAGTCCTGGTGAATGTTAGGCATTTGCTAGTTGCCATGGATACCCAAAGATACAAGTATCACAGCCAAGGAGGGGTGAAATTATGTCTCTTAGATGTTCTCCTTTAGAGCCTCAAATCTGGGTGCTCATTGATTGAACCCAAGAATGACTGCCTCATTTTTAAAAATACATAAAACTATGTTACATTTGTAGAGTACTCTGTTACTATGTTTTTAAGAATGATTTCTTAAAACAACAGGAAACCCAACCATTTCTTATGTATAAGACATAAGTATGTCTTATACTTCATAGTTTGCCAGGTATCTTGGTTTGCTTATGAAATTCTGCTTCCTGTTTCTCTCTCTCTCTCTCTCTCTCTCTCATATGGTGCTGGGGGCATTTCTGGAATATCTGGAAAATACTTCACACTTTGATCAACAATTCAGTCTTGTGAAGTAGGATTTTGTAGTTTACCAGTGATTTAATAAATGAGTGGAATGGTAGTCTTTTTTTAAAAAGCGTTTATTTATTTTTGAGAGAGAGAGAGAGGCAGACTACAAGTAGGGGAGGGGCAGAGAGAGAGAGACGAAGGCACAGAATCCCAGGCAGGCTCCACGCTCTGAGCTGTCAGCACAGAGCCCAACGTGGGGCTTGAACCCACGAACCGTGAGATCATGTCCTGAGCCAAAGCTGGACGCTTAACCGACTGAGCCCCCCACGCACCCCAGAATGGTAGTCTTTTTTTTTAAATTTTTTTTAATGTTTTTTATTTATTTCTAGGAGAGAGAGGCAGCATGAGCAGGAGAGGGTCAGAGAGAGAGGGAGTCACAGACTGAAACAGGCTCCAGGCTCTGAGCTGGCAGTCAGCACAGAGCCCGACGCGGGGCTCGAACCCACGAACCGCGAGATCATGACCTAAGCGAAAGTCGGACGCTTAACC